TTTATTAATAATTTTATTTAATCTTGTTCTAAATTATTTATTCATTCTGATACCACTTTTACATTAGCAGTTTCCTTTAGTAATTCTGATAAATTGGCATTTAACGTGGAGATTAATTCTGAATTTTGATACCAATTAAAAATAATTTGGGGAAGTCAATAAATTGAAATTTCTTAAAAGAAACTTGCACACATAATTTCAAAGTCCTGAGTATTTTCTTTCCCCCTTTGATACCAAAATGTTTTAGGTACATCAGAGCCTACTCTTGTGTTAGTTTCTTTTAGTCGGTTTCTATGTTCACGATTCTTTGCCTTACTTCTGCTCTCTATACTTTTACCTTACTAGCTTAATTCAGCTCCCATGTTATTTTCAGTTGACTTTGAGTAAAGATAATGAGAGACAGAAAAATGGTCATGTGAAAGGTTGGAGGAGGAATATCTCCTACATTGACATGCGGTATACACTAAAAAAAAATATGTATTTATCTTACATTAATAAATTTATGAATCAAACAATGTACATGCCATTTTATAATTAGTAACAATTTTTAAATAAAACTGCATCAGCTACTTCCTTGACTAAAATTTTCCACTGCTCCCTTCTCTCCTATAGCCATTTCTCTGCTATTTTCATTTCCCCATACTTTGAACTATTCATTCTACACTGACCTAGCATCAATGCCAGTTCTGCCTAGCCAGGTCTGTGTTACCAGAGAGCCAAGTAGAGCAGAGGATCAAAGAAGGTAGGTCTGGAACTCAAAAATCCATCAGGCAATAACACAAATTGAATTTCCTTCCAGCTCAAAAAATTTAGTGATTCTGTGATTTTTAGCCATCTATGAAACATCCTATATAAGAAGCATAAACACTGATTTTAGGACTTTAGGTGCTCGCTACATTCCTCTGTCATTCTGTTTTTTAGATAGCTAAAGATATTTTAAAAGATGGCCTTTTTAAATTTGAGTTTACCTAAGTTTTTCAGTTTCCTTAAAAATGATGCCACACAGCAAGACCTTGTCTCTACAAAATATAAAAAGAAAATTAGCCAGGCGTGGTGGTATGCACCTGTAGTCCGAGCTACTCACAAGGCTGAGGCAGGAGATCTCTTAAGCCCAGGAGTTTGAGGTTACAGTGAGCTGGGATGATGCCACTGCCCTCTAGCCTGAGTAACAGTAAGACCCTGTCTTAAAGAAAAAATGCCACAATTATACTGTCAAAACAATTAAATTATAATAGACTCAGAATTTTTAAAGCTGGAAGAACCTTAGAGATCATATGGTCCAACTGGATTTGATACATGAGGAAATTGAGGCTGCTCAGGGAAGTTATATGACTTACCAAAGGTCACACAGCAGAGTAGTGGCAGACCTATCTTTCCCATGATTTACGTTAAAGTCTAATGTATTTTAAAACCTAGGTACTAAATATTGAATTATATAATATACTACTGACCTTGAGCTAAAACTTAGAATTTGCCTATTTGAGATTGTTTTTACTTGGAGCCACTTTGTATTTTGCTGGCACTACAGCCACATGATTCAATGTTGTGTGGTAGTAGAGTGGTTTACATTGTCTATATAATGCTACAGCTTTGCCTTCCAGGCATTTTAGCCATTAATAATGACTCTCAGAAGAAACTTAGGTGCCTGCTTTATTTAATTCTCCCTTCAAAATATCCACTTTGCCAGTATACATTATCACATCCTCCAACAAAGTTGATTTGTTTCCGTGATTTATGCTTTGTGTGTTTCTTGTATAGCTTAGAGTTCATCTAATGAGCTCCAACTAATTCCTCTCTCTGCTCTTTCTGTTGCTTATCTAGTGTACTGGATTTTTTGTTTGTTTGAGTCTGCTACCATACACTCCTTAGCTTTCAGATCAGAAGATTCTATGTTAATTGTTTTTCCTGTAACTAAAACAAAACAAATATATACTTGTCAGAAGCAGGATTAGTAGCTGGTGGTAAAGATGGTACTTTTCTAAAAAAAATTTTCCTAGCTATAAACTTTTTAAATTTTGAAAGTAGTTTGTTGACAGCATAAATAATATGAAATTTTTAAAAATATTAAAACTTTCTGGTTTAAGCTGTGTTCCTTCTCAGATTGCATTATTTTAATGCTCAGTATTTTGTATAATGTAAGCATTTATTTCTGGAAGGTGCATAAATCTATTATTCAGTGTTCTGAGAGTGTCGGTTTGATAGTTAACCTGGCTATTTTCTCTAATCCAACAATGTATATAATGTATTTGGTGCAGATCAAATCTTCTAGGAGGATAGCTCTCACAGTCTCATTAGTTACAGACAAAACTATTCTAGGCAGGAGACAGGATTTTAGCAGAATGACTTTAAAAAAAAAAAAGGAAGATAGATTCAGGTTCTTTAAGAGAAACTGAAAAATCCTGAGATAAGAAGGATAGAGATTCTGTACCTTAGCACTGAGTTTTCCAGTGATGTGGCATGACTTTTGTGCCCTGACTATGCATTCAAGACCTGAGTTTCTTCATTACACATTAGCTACCTCTTTCCTTCTGCCATTTCCTGTTCTCAGTATTACCAGTAGAACTCAGAGTTCAGGTGACACATAGATCAATAAAGGTAATGTACTGGGGAAAATACAAGTTTTTGTTCTAGTCTGTATTTCATAACCTCTTTAGACACAAAACTGCATGAAAAATAAAGCTTTATTTTAAAATTAAACCTGGACTTTTAAAAATAAACCATTTTCAATTTGTGGCACTTCACAGACTTTTATAGGTTAAAAGAATAAATTGTTTTCTCCTGTAGATATTCATCACAGTGTGATCATTTGGATAAAATTTAACTTTGGGGTTCCCATGATTGGAAACTCTTCACGTTGGAATCCACTTTTGCTATGACATCTTAGCTTCCACGTTACCTACTCACACATTTCATAAGTACTAATGAAACACCAAGGTTTAGGGGAGGTGAGGATTCCTTTTAGTGTCATAGGTGGCTGGCACAATTATACTCAGGCACATCCTTCCTTAAGTGACTTTTTTTTTTCTTTTTGTCTTTTTCGTACAAATTTAGGGGGTGCATGTGCAGTTTTATTACATGCATAGATTACATAGTAGTCAAGTGAAGGCTTTTAGGGTATCCATCACCCAGTGATGGATGGGTACAACATATATTGTATCCATTAATCAACTTCTCATCATGCTCCGACCCTCTCACTCTTCCAAGTCTTCATTATCTATCATTCCACACTCTACGTACATGTGAACACCTTTTTTTAGTGCTGACTTACAAGTGAGAACATACAGTATTTGTCTTTCTGTGCCTTTCACTTAAGATAATGACCTCCAGTTCCATCCATGTTGCTGCAAAAGACATGATTTCATTCTTTTTTATGGCTAAATAGAATTCCATTGGGCATATATACCACATTTTCCTAAATGGACATTTAGGTTAATTCCATATCTTTGCTAGTGTGAATAGTGCTGCAATAAACATACAAGTGCAGATATCTTTTTATTATAATGATTTCTTTTCCTTTGGGTAGATACCCAGTAGTGGGGTTGCTGTATTGACTGATAGTTCTATTTTTAGTTTTTTGAAAAATCTGCATACTATTTCCCATAAAAGCTATACTACCTTCCCACTAAAAGTTGCCTTTCCTTCACATCCTTACCAACATCCATTATTTTTTGTCTTTTTAATAATAGCCATTCTGACTCGGGTAAGTTGATCTCTTTGTGGCTTTGATTTACATTT